AGAAGAAGAAGAAGAAGAAGAAGAAGAAGAAGAAGAAGAAGAAGAAGAAGAAGAAGAAGAAGAAATGAATAGAAAAAAAGCAAGTCCAATTTGTGATAAATAATGTCCTTCTAACCTCATGGCTTACTACTTTCTAAGGGCAACCTAAGTGCAATCAGATTTGAATATTTAGTTGTTTGTCAAATGCATTTATCTGTTATGTATATATAAGGCTATTTAAATGAAAATATAGATAACAGTTTGAATAAGTGATGAAAAGAGAATCTATTTATGAAAATATTTCCTAACAAGAAATTAAAGAATAAAATTAAATGGTGTTATCTCTGTTCTGTGTTTTATGTTCACATGTGAACTCCTAGAGCAGATGGTACAGGTGGTTTTAAGCTGCCTTATGTAAGTACCATGAAGGAAAACTGATCCTCTGGTAGAGAAATGTATGCTTTTAACTGAAGACTCATCTCTCTAGCCCCAATATTGAGTTCATTTTCATTTTGTGATCTATTTTGCTTTTGTAAGGAAGATTAATATGGGAGTACTAATTTTGGAGGAGACATAACATCTTTATTTTTCATGTATGTATTTTTTCAATGGGACCTGGGCATCTGGAGGCAGGTCCATGGTTGTAACTTTTGGTACATTCATCGAGTGGGCATTTGGATCTGCATTTACTTTAACCTCAACTTGGCAGGCATTAGATCAAGTAGGTGGTGAGTCAAGTTCAATCTTGGGGCTACTCAGCGTTGATGTGCAATTGTGGTATCAGAAGTCTGAGCTTGGTGTGGGCAAGGTAAATCTTCTCACCACATAAATGAAGCCTCTGCAGAGCAAGAAGGTTGTCACTGGAACCCTGCCTGGCTTGAACCTGTACAGACACCGTGCACAGTGCCACAATCTCTTCTGGTTCTTGTGCACACCATTCCTGTTGTGTCTGGGGGACATCATTTCCTTGGCGACATACACTCCCTCTGGTTCTTATAACATTTATACCTCCTCTTCTGCATAGCTTTCTGAGCCCTGAGGGTTCGGGAAGACATCCTATTTAGGACTGAGTGTTCAAAAACTCTCATACTTTGCATTGTCCAGTTGAAAATCTCTGTTTTAGTTCCCATTTACTGCAAGAGGATGCCTCTCTAATTATGAATCAGAAAGGCACTGAACTATGTATGGTATAGTAGAAGTCCTTAAGAGTCATTTCAGTGCTGAGACATGGACTCCCACTATCAAAAAGAAGCAACTGACACTCACTTTCAAAGGAAAAATTAGTTTTCTTCAATGGAGTCTTGTTGGGTATATTAGCCACACTTAAAGGTAGGTCCCATGCCCAATACAAGATGACTAACACAAAACAACTCCATGATATTTTTCCTAGACTTTTTGTCTTATATTTCTTGGTTTGAGCATTTATTTTGTCATACTGGTATTTCAACTTCATAGTATGTTTCCAAATATTGTGTTTTTATGGTTTTCATTTGTGTGTGTGCCTGTTTCTGTTTTTCTTTTTTCCCCATTTTCTTTCTTTCTTTCTTTCTTTCTTTCTTTCTTTCTTTCTTTCTTTCTTTCTTTCTTTCTTTCTTTCTTTCTTTCTTTC